TACTAACCTTGCGCTCGTCTTTTCACTGACACCACGTGGTCGTACTGTCACCGTCAGTGTATGGTTATGTGATCTTTTTACGTCTTTAAATTTCTATTTATTTTATCATTGTTAATGTTATACGTATTCAGATATCACTTGTATGTAGAAATATTTGGACGTGTTATTGGCAGGCCAGTGTTATACAACAGGCACTTTGTTTTATTTGAAATTAATTTAGATTCTTTATAAAGATAAAAGATGCCTCGCCTCGTAAGAGCTATAAGTGTAAAAGGACAAAGAAATCCCTCGTAAAAAGGTTGTTTTGGAAAAACAAGAGGTGCGAAAACGAGTCACTAGTTTCGAGTGATAACAATGATGTTGTTCAGTTAGAGGATTCCGAATCAATCTTCAATAGACTTATGGAAGAATGTCCTTCTACAAGGCACAAAGAAGTAATCAACCAAAGGTGAGTTTAAGAAAAAGTTGCATAACTATTTATTTACTATGGTTGTCCAAGTCAATGTATGAATATCCATATTATGAATATGTAATGAAATGTATGAACCCCTTACCTCTATATGGTTAGACGTGAGGTAGTGGGCAGGTACTTCATGTTGGAAAATGTTTAACCAATGAACAGATATGGAAATGCATACCTTCATACAACTGCAGTAGCAAGAGTAACAACACAACTTTTAGAATTAAACTGTGCAAAAATAATTTCAGACAATTTTTAAGACGAATTTTTTCTTTAAAGTGCTCTTTTGGATTATACTGGTTATACCTACCACTACAGAATGAGCATCGAAGTGATTTGCATGTAAATAAATTTGGTTGTATGTAATGCAGATTTAGCCCCCGAATGTTGTTTAGTAATTATATAGTCTTTATTGATAACCTTCCAAGTCCAAATAACTTTAAACCAAGGTAGTTTATTTTTCTGTTCTATAGTATGGACGACGATCAAGAACAACACATAGTATGTACAAGTGATTCAAACACAGATGATGATGAAGCTGACTTTCCACCTTTGATTGTGGAACATTGTCCGACACCGACAGAGACACAATTTGAACTATCTGGTCGTCGCATAGTCAATGTAAAACACGTGATGGAACAGATGCGCATTATATCGAACCATCCTAAGGTTTGTACAATGGGAAAATATGAATTCCGTAGAGAGGTCTCCAATGGACTATTTAGCAGTTGGACGTATTTTTGTCACAATTGTGATAAAGAATTTGTTGTCACGTCAGAGCCTCTTGACCAAAAGATGGAAATAAATGATGCATTGGTGTGGGGAGCCATGTCAGTTGGAATTGGTTTTTCACAAGTAGAAGAAATGTTTAGTATTATGGATATACCAATGATGGGTCATAACAAATACAACAAGCACGAGACGAAAGTTGGAAATGTAAGTAAACAAAATATACCTCTACTACTACAACTATATATGTAAGTAAACGAAATATACCTTTACTACTACTGCTATATAACACTATGATGGTGTCTGTCTATGTGTTTGTGTATTTTTTCAGTAATATACAGTTATTTAATACTGTATTTTACTGTTAGCATTAATACTGTATTGATAGAAATACAGTATTTGTTACAGCAGTTGAACAAATTAAAATTTAGACATAATTAAAACCATTTAGATAACTTTAGACTAATTTTAGATAAATTTAGACATACAATAAAATAAAATATTTCTATAACGTTAGTATCTTGTCAAACATCAAGGTTGATTATAGGCAACTGAACTAGGCCATCAGTGGTAGAATGAGACAAGACAGCAGTGGCTAGGCAGGCAGGGACTAGGGAGGTTGGCCGGTACGGCGACGCAAAGCGAAAGCAATGGCAATGGCGTGGTGAGTCAGAGTGCGAGAGAGAAGGAAGATACACACACGCATGCAGCGCGCTCGCAACGGCGACCTCCACGCTGCCTAGCGGATTTAATTTGCTACCAGGGCCGAACTTACCTAGGGGCGGACGGGGCGAGCGCCCGGGGCCCCCGGGCCTTTGGGGGCCCTGAAGGGGCCCCTTGCACAGTAGTTTTTATTAATATCTTCGAAAATTAATCAGACACTTACCGAATGATCTTCTTTTTTAACAGCTTTATTGTCGTTATCTTATATTTAAGGTTATTGTTAGATGAACTTTAAGGTATTACTAGGACCAAAATTCTTGACTCTAAGGGACTTTTCCTCAGGGTTGCACTGGGCCCCGCGCTTAGACCTAGTTTACACGAGCATAGCTGCTAGGCTGTGACGGACCAGTTTGAGTTTCAATGAAGCCGTTCACACAAACCTACGGCCGTGGTGATCAAGTTGAAGGGGGCCCCTTCGCTTGGGGCAAAAAATACAATAAATAATATGAAAACTCTTGTCCTAACGTAGAACGTAACTTGTACAATTGTGTTGGGGTTAAATGGAGATTCAATTGAGATCTAATACTTTTGAAAAATAAAAACATTGTTTGAAAAATCTGTTTTATTAGATGTTATTCTTTTACCTCTAAGTATATGCCATTCACGATTTTAAGGGGCAGAAGTATTATATTACCCATTCAATTAAAAGGTTTTATAAAATAGTAATTAAGTTATACGTCGAAATTCGGATCTTCAATTTAGTCGATCAAAATCAAAATCAAAGAGTCAAAATCATACAGCGCCAGTAGGATAAAAAATCTATATAGACATTTTATGACAACTAGGGTCGTCTGATGTTAACAAAAATTACATTATTTGGGAGCGGGCGAGCGTTGTCGACTGTATGAATGTATGATTTAAAATTGGCAGAGCAGAAAGCTTACCCTTGCTAGTGGGAAGCGTGAAGAGAGGGACATATCAATAATAGGACGCAGTTTGTATCAAGGATTAGTGGGTCGACGAAAACTTTATACTGACAGTGAGATGCTTCATTTAGTCACGGTTTAGCTTGGAAACAGATTGTTTTGGTAGTAAATTAGGCTTCAAATTAGGAAGTCTTAGGATTTGTATGAAACAGTTGAGAACTTAGCGGTGCCGGTCCTTATGCATCGACGGGCGGGGCTGCGCGGATGCTTTAAGAAGCCTGCAAGCGCTGTCTTTGCCAACGCCCACACTACATCAGTTGTTTCAGATGACTAACCAAATATATATATTTATAAACCTTAAGAAACATACTAACATTTTTTTTCTGACACATTATGCGTATTTTATTTGGAAAAAATATATAGAGGGTAAAACAAAATTGTGTACTCTAAAACATAAACATTATCAAAAAAAGTTAAAATGCTATATCTCTTTGGATATAGTTTTATAAGAAAACATTTAGTACAAAAGTTGAAGATAAACTAATTACAAATAATACAAATTTGAATTATATCCAGTAAAGTGAACGACTGTAATTTCCAGGTTTGGAGGGGGTTGGGGGAAAAAGCTCAAGGTGGAGAATCGTAAACTTTTTGAAAATACACGTCTTAAGTGGTTTCATCACATATAACAAACTCAGCTTTCCACTATTTAGCTACAAAAAAAGGCAGTTTGTGCGTTTATTGGCTGGGCTAGATGCGATGACGCAGCGCAGAGGTGTTCAACTAGCCCGCACGCGCTCTCTTTGCCGACGCCCAGCTCTTCACCCGGTCACCTAGATGACTAACCAATAATATATTTGTAAACCTTGAAAAACGTACTAAAACTTTTGTTTGTACCATATTTGAATATTATATCTAATTACAAGTATAAATAGAGAAAAACAAAATTTTGCACTCTGAAACAAAGCTTTTAACGAAGTTTAAATTTTATATCTCCCTAAGTATTGGTTTTAGAAAAATTTTGTAAATACAAAAGTTGTAGGAAAACTAATCAGAAATAAAACAAAACAAATTGCAGCTCGATAGCTTACATAGCATTCAAATTATGACCAATTAAGTAAAACACTGCAATTTCTATGTTTGGAGGAGGGTGGGGGGGAAAGCTCAAGGGGTAGAAGTGGGGACTTTTGGGAAAATAAACCTCTCATATGGTTCTATCACATATAAAAAGTCCAGCTTTCCACCATTTAGTTGCGATAAAAAACGTTTATTGACTGGGCTAAATGGGTAATTGAGGTGTAATTGGTTCTTTTATATCACATTTGTTATACCAGCATACATCTTTATTGGTAGGCCATTTAAAAAGGTTTTGGCCACTCATTGACATTGAAGTTATTTTGTAGTCCTCCCCAGAAACTAAAATTATTGTAAGAAGAGCATCTATCATGTACAGCCACTGTGGTATCAAGTCACCCAAAGACAGGAAAATTATGTTGAGTTTTGATAAGACGAGGTTTATGACAATCCTATCATAGATAAGAGATAAAACTATGCTGATAATGTAATTTAAGAAGTTGAAAAAAGAGGGGAAAAAATGCCACAGGTTTCACGGGGTCATTGTTCTGAAAAAAAGTATAATATTATTCGGGTTAAAATTTTTGGGAAACTCTTTGGCTTTTAAATTTTATTTTTTTTACATTTAATTTTGTTTCAATTGAAGATATTATTGTACCATATTGAAGCTAAGGTATTAGGCTTCAAAAAAAGTTTAAGTGTACAAGTAATTTATTGGTAGTTAAAAAATTAAAAAAGTTTAAAAAACTTTTTTAGCTTATAGTTTCAAGTCACTCCACAGGCCTCAAGTCATCCTGTTGTATGGTATGATTTAAATTGGCATTCTGTTAATTATATTTTTTAACCCGCCATTATGACAGTGTGTATCTGGATCCGGATCCGAATTTTTCAAGATCCGGATCCAGTACCGACATTTTCTTATCCGGATCCGCCCATCACTAATTAATTGTTATAGTTACTGTTGCTTTAGTACTTTTGTGATCTATTAGAAACTAGCACGTCAACATCATTATATATACTGCAGTGTTGCAGTATTATTGGTTGTTCGGTAGTCATGTATTTGCTGTAAAATGGTGTAACCGTTGAGAGGAAATAAATAAATAAATAAACTGGCTGAGAGGATGAAATAAAACATGACAACATTTTTTAAATATATTTATAAAGTAATTCCAGTAATTTAGCAGTTGTTTAATAATCAGCTACCTACAACTTTACGGCCGTATAATAAACAAATCAACATCATAATATACCAACAAGAGAAAACGGTAAAGCAATCTAAAACTTATTTATATATTTTATTTGTAAAAACAATTTGAAAATAAATTATATCACGATTGCACAATTAAAAATCATTGTGATAGGCCAATTGTATTTTAAGAGTTTGTAAGGTTGAACCAATATCAAAACAAAACTGTTGGATTGTATCTCCGATCGCACGGCTGCTTCATCTCTTCTAAGGCAACTCCACGACTGTACTGGCACCACGCACCATACACACACACACTCAAACTATAATTCAAATCGAATCGGTCGATTTGTTTCACCAATATAAACAGTCAATCGTATCCATTTGATTCTATACAGAGCGGTTAGTTAAATACAATATTACAGAAAATATTCCTCCGTACAATTTGTAGAGGGTAGAGGACTAGAATAGAGGAACGGTAAATACGTTAGTGGGAGGGTGGGGGCTCCGAGGCTTGTACAGGACGTACAGGTTTTCGCCGTGCAGTTCCGGCGTACGAGGGTGGAGGAGGTGCAGTGACAACCTCCCTGATGGTGCCAGTGCCGGGGTGATGGCGAGGGGTGGGACGTAGGGTGGGAGGAGGGGCCTGAGGACGACTACGGGGTTGAGGACGCTTGGGTACCACACTCTCTGTACCCCTCGGGTAGTCTCGGGCCACAGTATTACACACCATCTTCTGCTCAGAGCGAGCCACATCGCTCAGTGTTGTCAGCACCAGTTCCTGTACAAAGAGACTTCTATCTGCCCGACTCCGTTCAACTGTCTCTCGCTCCACATCTGTCATACTGGCCTCTAAACATCTGCAACATGGTTAAAAACTGCAATAATTACTATATCCAATTAAAGAGTTACCTATCTTGTTTAATACTGAAGAATTCCAATTATTGGATCAATCAGGAAAGTTACATTCGGACGAACAAAAATAGGATAGTTAGATTTCTACTGAAATTTAGAAAAATAATTCACGCTTTTAGTGTGATTGCGGAGGACGATAATAGGCTCCCATCCAAGATGGCGGACACTCATCACCAACTGTACTAGTGCTCCCCATTATTTCAGTGAATTAAGTGGTAAAACCAACAAATTACCTACATAACTTCACACAAAACTGTACTCATCAACTGTAAGTACACAAAAATCATGAGAAACTAAGACCTACATACCTAAAGAGTAGATTCAATCTGAAAACAAATTTGCTGCACAAGTGCTTACAACTCACCAACATACCTTGCTCTCAGCTTTAAAATATTGAATCAAGCACCAAAATAAATTTGTATAATCTTCTGACAGTATAAACTGAAAAACTCTAAGATATTATGAATAATACACTATTTACAGAACTAGAATAAACCAATTAAAACTGTGACAGCTGGTGACAAGTAATGCTGACAGAGCACAATCAGCACATTCCATCTTTGCTAACCCACTCAAAATACTGCTAATAACTGACCAATGCCAACATAGCTGAGCTGTGCTTTCAAATCACTAATGCAAGACTGCACATATGTTATCAATTGACATAATATTCCTGATAAAAAACACTTAAACAATTTGACCAAACCAAGAAGAAATTTATTTTACAACCACCAAAAACTAAACCCCCCTAAAAAAGTGACAATCAGAAACCACCATAAATCATGTCAAAATATCCATGTGGAATATGCAACATAGGGGTTAAACACAAAGGCATTCTGTGTACCGGAGAGTGCAATCAATGGTATCACTCCAAATGCCTGAAATGGACAGATAAAAAACTGAAAACGCTTACGAACCTAGAGATACAAAGCTGGAAATGTAATTCGTGTACCGAAGACACCAAAGTCCAAAACCCCAGTGTAGACGAACTAGAGCAATGGATTAGTAACCTAAGTGACATAGAATCAGCTGACCTTGAAACATCACTATCTTTAGCATCCGAGGTTGGCAGCAGCTACTAATGGAGAATAAAGAACTCAAACAAAACTTAGTAGCTATGACAAACAAGTACATTATTCTAGAAAATGAAATAAAGGAATTGAAAAACTCCAAAGACCATTCCTTAATATACCAACAGCAACTAGAGGAATGCATTATTGAAAAGGAAAACATCCTATTCAAATATAACTCCCTCATTGAAAAAACAGATGAACTAGATAAAGCACTGATAAAGGAGAAACAAATGAGATATAGCCTAGAAAAAATGTTCGAGGAACATGACAAGGAGAGTACTGAAACTATCCTTAGATATGAAACAAACATCAAACAACTCCAAAACAAAGTTAAAGAACTTGAACAAAATAAGCCTGTCATAGATAGAAACCCAGCTAGACCAATATACACAGACTCTGAAACCCAACTCTGATGCATTCCCGTCAACTCCAAACACAACAATATACACAGAACTACTACACATAAAAAATAAAATCAAGGCCTTAGAAGGGAATATGGAAAAATTGAATAAAAAGCAACTAAAAAGAGAGAACTCAAGACACAAAAGAGACAAAAAACTACTGCTGTCACAAACAGACTGAAACTGAGGGAATCAGACAAACCCCGCCCAAAAAACTGAATACACTTAATACAGAGGGAAACAGACAAACCCCGCCAAAAAAACTGAATACACTTAATACAGAGGGAAACAGAAAAACCCCGCCAAAAAAACTGCATACACCGAACACAGAGGGAAACAGACAAACCCCGCCCAAAAAACTGAATACACCTAATACAGAGGGAAACAGACAAACCCCGCCAAAAAAACTGATTGAAAACACAACAATCAATTCCACACTGGACCTGGGCCAAACAGCCTCTCTTATTCCACTCAGTGACGATGAAGATGCTGAATCCACCGAAACAAGAGCACATCCAGGGAAATTCATTAGGAGTAAATCTGTGAACACAAACAGCGGCAGAGTATCTATGATTACAGAGGAAGACCATCATAGCCTCGAAGGACAAAAGATTTTTGCATTTCCACCAGAAGATACCCCGCTGATAAGCACACAATTAATGACAGATGAGGATCTACAGCACACATGCCGCATCCACCTTATTGACACACAACACCCGACATCATGTGAATACAAAACACTGCCACCCGAAGCTAGACCTACTATAATCAGGAGACTACAAAATAGAAACCTATCCTTTAACAACTTTATTACAGCTCAAGACAACGAGGACAACACTCACATTGTCATATGCTCAACAGGAATAAATGGCAATTGGAAGAGGAAACTGTTCCGGTTCCTTGAATTGGCAAACGATTGTATAAAATTCCCAGTACTTTTCTCTATCAGACTCGAAGAATTCATAGAAACTGCCAGCCTCAGCAAACTACACATCAGAGAAATAATACAAATACTACTACAATATTCATATAATGCCTACTATACACAAACAAAAGACCACAAAAAAATTATTGATGATCTCATTGACCTACATTGACCTATTGATCTACAGACAGGGTACAAAGGAAAATAGCAAAAATATTCCCAGGAAAAGAAAAAACCTCGTACTACAGTACTTGGAGAACAACTCGGGGAACGTACACAGGAATTAACACCTATCAACCTCCATGTCTACCATCCAACAGTGAGGAAAGCTTCGCTCAAGCAGCGATGCTTGAGCAAAGAGAACTTTGGAAGTCAAAAGAATCGATGTTGCTACACCACCTTAACACCATATACAAGGAGTACAATATAAGCAGCCTCCAAAAAGACGACCCTAAACTCCAAGACTTCTGCAATAGAACCAAAAACAAATACGCCATCATAAACCTGAACACTGGAAACTTCCTCACCCAACAAGAAACAACACACCCAACACCTTACCAATTTGGTTTCGATGGAGCACGTCTAGTGCAACTACTGAGGAAAGGTAATGGAAATTATGCAACTGCTCCAAACAACATAGCAATTAATCAAAACATCTTAGTATCAGACGAGACAATACTCCTAAACGAACTACATCTCTATAATAGCACAAAACACATTGACATTAAAAACTCATACAACACTAAACTGAACTTAGTCCAAGGTGTGCCAGGATTTGGGAAAACAACTTTCCTACTCAACAACTATGCTACAGGGGACCTCATCCTGTTTCCTACAAGAGATGTGGCAATGGACTTCCGACAGAGATACAAAACCAACCACCCAGACCATAGCCAGGCAAAATGCAATGACACCTTCAGAACCGTGCATTCATTCATAATAAACTCCACCCAACATCTTAAGAGAGGAAACACCTATAACAGGCTCTTCATCGGCAAAGCCCTAATGATGCATGCCGGAGAAATACTCTTTGCAGCCATTTTATCAACTGCTTAAGAAGTATTGCTTATTGGCGACATGAACCAAATACCATATATAAACAGAGCAGAGAACCTAGAAGTTAAATACCACAACACTACAGAAATAGCCACAACAACAAAAATACTAAACACCACATACAGATGCACAAAGAGCACCACAGCCATCCTCTCAAAATTCTACAGCCAAGGAATGCAAACCACCAACCAGACAGAGAAAGAAATGGCGACACAGCAGTATCAGGGACTAGAAAGCCTGAACCTCACTCTCAACAAAAATAAATACAAATGCTTGGTCTTCAAACAAGCTGAGAAAAGAGAACTAAACAAGCTAGGTTTCAACGCATCTACGATACATGAATTTCAAGGACGGCAAGCAGAAAACATAGCTGTCATACGAACATCTGCTAAAAGAGAAGAAATTTATTAATCGCAGCACCACTGCATCGTTGCTATCTCAAGGCACACACACTCATTCCTTTACATAACACCCAGCAGTAATGATAAACTAGGCCGTTGGATACAACAAGCAAACTTGCTTAGCTCCCAGGAACTTTCCAAATACCACATCAACATTCAGAAAATCGCAGAACCACCCCTCCCAAAGTATAAAAACACACTACAAACTAACAAAACCAAAGTTGCACACAAGAACCCCTAAACACTCCCACCTCCCAACATCATTTTTTAGAAGAACACCATCATCCCAGAGAAAAGCACAAAAACCAGCTCAAAGATGTAACACATCCCCTCCGACACTCCGTACAGTAAAATTCCAAACACCTAATAGCCAACAAGGACTTAAAATTCTACACCAAAACATAAATTGGTTATCTAAAAAAACTGATAGACTAGCACACTTCCTCCAAGATGAAGACCCGGACCTGATGTTAATAACAGAGCACGGCGTAGCACAACAAAACTTGCAAAAAACGTGGGTAGAAAATTACTCACTTATTGGAGGCTTCTCAAGGAAATCCCATGTCAAAGGAGGAGTGGTCGCTTATGTAAGAAGTGGCTGGGAAAAGCATGTATCACTCATATGCACAAGTAGCGAGGAAACAGAACTAATTTACGAAACTGTGCTCTTTGAACTGAAGCTAAACAGGAATCCACTGCTAGTCCTCGGAGTATACAGGCCACCAAGTGCAAACCTAGACCAAGCCATCGATATACTCTCTGAACAACTGGAAACAGTGCTCACTACGGATAAGCAAATATTAATAATGGGAGACATCAATGTAAACAACCTAGTTGATGACAATGAAAACGAAAAAATTGAAGAACTCCTAACCTCCTTCAATATCTCAAGACTGAGGCTACCTCCCACTCGAATTACAAGTGACTCAGAAACATCAATAGACTGGATATGCTCAAACATTGATAATCAACAAATAGAAACCTCAGTTATAACATCAGGACTATCTGACCATACCGCACAAATCGCAAAAATCATCACTAGAAAACCGATCATCAACAACATCAAAGAAAATAAACGAATCTTCAACA